AGCATAGGCATTGTAGAGTGACCAGACTCACCTGGGCTCTGACCTCAGTCTCTAGAAATACCAGGACAGCTTGGAAGACAATGCACATGTGGTCTAGCTGCATAATGAGGGGCTTCATCTGAATTTCCGAGATTGTAGTTTTTATGATGTAATATTTGACTGCCAAAAAGTTGGCTGGCCCTGGCCAGGTGGCTCAGTTAGTTGGAGCGTCATTCTTTACACCAAAAATATTGCAGATTCAATACCTGGTCAAGGTGCATTCAGGAGGCAACCGATTGATGTTTCTTTCTCACATCAATGTTTCTCTCTCCGCCCCATCTCTAAAAATCAATAATAATAATAAAAAAATCCATATCCTTGGGTGAGGATTTAAAGAAAAGAAATATGCTAAAATCACTAATTACTCAAAAAGTGAGCAGGCAAGTATCTGGTGAATCTACTATGAACGAACATACAGATACCTCAGGAAAAATGTGTGTACACAGCCCAATTGTACAATATAATTGTCACTTTGCTACATGTGGTCTGACTCTATTGAATATGAAATTATTGATAGTCTTTAGGTTTGGAGCAGCTTGAGTTTGAATTCCTTCCTAGGAAGTTTCTATGTACACTGTTGAATTCATGGTGTGAGTCATAAAAAAGGAAGCAGTTGACATGGTTATGCTTCACTTCCCCACCCTAACTTGAGATCAGTAAAGGACTTAGGCAGGTATTTCATGTGGTGCAGGCTCTGGCTCCTTCAGTATTGTCTTGATTATTGAATCTTTTTTGCATAATAGATTTCCACTCTTCCTTTGATCTTATTGATGATAAATACCTTAGGATATGACCTATATGATAGGCATAAAGCATTAAGGATATTTGCTGGCCTTTTCCAAGAAATGGCCATGTTAACTTGTATGAGGAAACAATAGTAATTAATTTTAATATTTTTGTATCTTTTGTTCCTTAACTTTTTCATTGTATAGTATTTTTTGCATACCACTTAATTTGTGATGCACATAATATTTATGTGAATCTCAGAATCTGTCACAATAGAAAAGAAGTAGGAATTACAGTTGGAGGAATGTTAGGAGATAAAAATAAACTCCAAATGTTTTGTTCTCATCTCCAATAATTATTTTTTCAGGAAAAACTAAAAACTCTGTTATAATGACTATGTTTACTTATTTATACTTTTAATTAGGTTTTTCATACATATTTACTTTTTAAGGACATTTACTTTTAATATTGTTTCTTTATGTGGGAACTATATTAATATTTTAAAAATGAAATTCCTAAGATAATATGTTTTTAAACATTCACAAATTAACAATAATTCTTTGAATTTTTATTAGGTTCCAGACAACTCTTTAGCTTAAACATTTCTAAATTTCCAGGTGACTCATTAATAAAACAGAAGAAATATTAAGGTAATGTCATAAAATTTATTCTTTTTATTTTACCTTTCTCATTTATTGATTGAACTTATTTTATATATGTGTATAAATAACCTGGATACTGCTTTGTCTTGAGCAGTGTATAGGTTTTGTACATTTGGAAATTTGGCACAACATGTAGGAAATTAATAGAGGTTTTCCTCCAGTAAAAGGGCTCTCATTTGATTTTATGTTTAAAACTATAAAATGCACTTTTGTTTTACAACCTCTGAAATGACTAAATATTGCCCTTTGGAAAACCTGAGTCTTTGCACATGTTATTTCCAGAGTCTACCTCAGTTAACCAGGCTTACTTAGTTTTAGGTGGGAAGGAATGGAAACTATTTAAATTCATTTCATCCTCCACACAGATTTGTGTGTTTAAGCGTTTCTTTGTTTCTCTTCTTTCCCTCCTCCTATTAACTTTTTTTTTTACCCTGAAATTTTTATTTAAAATATTTGTTTTTCTTTCTCTGGCAAAGCCACATATTCCAAATTAAGCTTCTGTGAAATGTTTGAATTATCCTTCCCATCTTTGTTACGGCCAGCCTCGTCACATCCCCTAGTTTCTCACAGCTTCATAAACAAGCTAACATGCAACATTAAGTCTAGGAACCTAACTTGTTTCCATTCTCTAAGAACCTAAGCACTTCTCGAACACACACATTCAGATGGTGGACGCAGCAGAGTCCCTTCAGTGCTCATGATATGGACTGTGTCCAGTGAGATCGCTTCACTACATGTTATGATGGTTTGTAAGTGTTTGAGATTTTTGTTTCAGTGTTTGTCTCCCAGTATTTTGAATTTAATTTAAAGAAAAAGTTGTTTCTAAATTGTATTTATTATATGTGATTTTCCTTACATTTTGTGCTGCTACTTTGCTAGTTTCATGAGCTTAGTTGTGTTTGTGCACAGATTGTAATTTGTTAATAAATTTTTAGAGTGTTGCTTGTTGGTGTTTTATTTGTGGTTCATATTTGATGTACAGTTACTGGCCCACTTAACTGGTCACCAGTGGGAGTAATAAATCCTGCCCTAGTAAACCATGACTCCCCAAATTTTAGTTTTTATAAAATCACATATTATAAATCTTATATTTTATATTTGCCACATATTATACACCTAATTTCAAGGTTGATGCAGGTAAGATGAATGGCTTTTCAACTATTCTGACTGGTCTAATAAATACACTTATGTTATTTGTGTAACACCATTGCAAAATGGACGTCCCATATGGTGAATTTTCCAGACGACTCTCCGATTTTATGAGTCCCCAAAACTGTTTTTTAAATTTGCAGACTTTATTTGTTTATTTTTGAGCAATTTTAGGTTTACAGAAAAATTAAACAGTGAAGAGAGTTCTTGTACACTTTTCCCCTCCACCCCTCCAGTCACCCCTCTAGTTTCCCCTTTTGTTATATCTTGCTTTGGTGTGGTACATTTCTACTACATATTGAATCCATATTGACACATGGTTATTACTAAAGTTCATAGTTTACATTAAGGTTCACTCTTTGTTGTCAAAGCTCAGTGGGCTTTAACAAAAGCATAGTGTCACATATCAACCATTATAGTGTCACATAGAACAGTTTCACTGCCTTAAAATCCTCTGTGCTTGCCCATTCATTTTCCCCCCTCCTCCTAACCTATGGCAACCACTGATCTTTTACTGTCTCTATAATTTGCCTTTTCCAGAATGTCATATAGTTGGAATCATATGGTAAATAGCCCTTTTAGATAGGCTTCTTTCACTTAGCAATATGCATTTTAGGTTTTTTCATTGCTTTTTGCAGCTTGATAGTCCATTCTTTTTACCATGGAAAATATTCCATCACAAGAGTGTGCTAGTTTGTTTATTTGTTCACCTACTAAAGGATATCTTGGTTGCTTTCAAGTTTTAGCAATCAGGAATAAAACTGCTACGAACATTCATGTGCAGGTTTTTGTGTGGACCTTCTCAATTTCAGTAATACTCAGTAGTGCAGTTGCTGGGATGTATGGTAAAAATGTGTAAAATTTTTAAGAAAATGCCAAACTGTCTCCCATAGTGGCTGTACCGTTTCCACTGCCAGCAGCAATGAGGGAGAGTTCCTGCTGCTCCACGTCCTCCCCAGCATTTGGTGCTCTTGGTGTTCTGGTTTTCCATTCTGATAGGTGTGCAGTGGCATCTCATTGCTGTTTTAATTTCCAGGTCTCTAATGAGCTAATGTTGAGCATATTTTCATATGCTTATCTATTTTTAATTTATTTTTATTGAAACCCTGAGAAAATGTATCACACTTTTCCCCTGACTTTGTAAAATTGACAGTTTGAACTTAACCTTTTCTTTCTGATTCAGAGTAACCCCCATGATATGCCACCCTCAGCAGCTAGTGGAGGGTAGCAGGGCTTTTCTGCGTGTCACTAAATGGTCTTTGAGTTTTGGTGTTTGCTTTTATATTTTTACTCTTCTTTATTGGGCTGTTCAACCTTTATATCTTTTCCAATTTCCTACCTCCAGTCTTTTTTAAAAAATGTTTTTATTGATTTCAGAGAGAGGAAGGGAGAGAGAGAGAGAGAGAGAGAGAGAAACATCAATGATGAAAGAGAGTCATTGATTGGCTGCCTCCTGCAGGCCCCCAACAGGGGAGAGAGCCCACAACCCTGGCATGTGCCCTGACTCTGAATTGAACCGTGACCTCCTGGTTCATGGGTCAGCGCTCAACCACACAAGCTGGGTTCCTACCTCCAGTCTTCATTGTGAAAATACTTGTTAGAATTATGAGTAAATTAGGAGTACAACTGTTTGGGGATGTGGAGTGTTTGGGAAGTTTATTGTTTGAGTTTTAGTGCTTTGTGTCATTTCTCTAGGCTTTCTGTGGCCTGTTAGCTTTATTTTTGGTTTCCCGAAGTGTTCCAGGTGGACCAAGTATGAAGTAGAGATTTATGCATAATTATGTTGTCATGTAGTTGTATAATATTTATTGCTTGAAGACACCTGACAATAATTTCATTGCCCTACCCTTTTTTTCTTGCTGTGACCATTAATGAAGACTTGATGACTTACAGGTATAAAGGAAAAGAATTACGTATAAAATTTATTAGGTACAAAAATAGGAAACATTTGTGGCTAGAGCTTTCCTACTCTCCAGTCCTTTCTCCTTTCTCCAATGCATATGGCCAGTGCTTCCTAGTAATGTGACATGGTCACTGGCTCATGTGGCAGAACATACTTGAGTGTTGAGTATTTGCCCAGAGAATCCAGGTATTTAGTTGGAAATTATGAGATAAGAGATTTGCCTGGCCAGCAGCAGCTGCTGCCTTTCAAATGGACAGTCAAAGGCTGGGTGGACTCACGTCTCAGCTGGCTAATTCAATCAGCACAGGCTCAGATGCTGGAGGCTGGTGCCAATGGCTTTCCTTCCTCCCGACTATCAACAGTCAGCTGCATCTGGACAGACGAGGGGATTCACCTGGGATCTCCCAGCTTCTTGTTCGCAGCCATAGCGCCTGTGATACCAGAACAGGCAGGAAAGGGCATCAAGGGAGAGGAACAGACGTGTTCAGTCCCTGCTTCTTATGTTTATGATCAGAAAAGGGTTATAGCCAACTCTTCCCTAATTTTAATTTTTCTAAGATCTTCTCAGGACCTTTCATGTAAGTTTTGAGAGCTTCAGGGTATTGAGACCTGAAATTGGGAGCAAATGACTTGGTTCAGGCCCCTCATCTTGTAGGTGAAGGGACTGAACCCAGGTAGATTTTAAGGTGTGTGTTTAAGATCACATTCTGAACTGGGAAACAGGACTTAAATCTATTTCTGATCTTGAAGAATGCTACAGATAAGGTGTAAGGAAAGCGAGCCAGGGGGCAAAATGCTTATTATGGAACTTTAAGCCTTTGAAGCATAATTTAGACTACCCAAGTTGATGATAGTTAGGGATAAGAAGTAATAAGATAAATTGACACATAGTGTTTGAACTAACATTTATAATGATTGCTGTGTGCTAGAGACTTTATTTTGTTTTATTAAATTCATATGTTAGCTCTAAGACGTATTTACTGTTGTTCTCTTTTTGCAGAAGAGAAAACTGAGACTTAGAGAGTGACTTGCTCTAGTCATTTCACTCTTAAGACGTGGAAGAAGGAATGGAACCTAGGTCAGTTTTGTTCCCGAGCCTCTTCCTTTGCATATTCCAAGATTACTTTCAACAATGTTAAGTGCAAAAGTACTCAGTTCTTGAAATATGTTATATTCACTCATTTTTCTGAGGTTATTAATCACTCTTTACCTTCCCTTTCCTGAAATGCCTTTTTACCAGGAATCTTTTAGCAGATGACTATGATATATTCGGTTACAGTATTTATGGTCATAATGATAGGGAAAAAATAGTATTTCTTGTATTCTGGGATTAAAGTGAAGTTGGGGGTATTGCTGCCATTTGCTGTGTTTGAGTGTAAATACACACTTATTTCCAGGGCAGGCTTTATGTAATGAGCCAGTCATTCTGAGAGTTTCCACCACCAACTTAAGTGACATAGAGCTCTAACAGTTATTTTTATTAGTAAGATTCTCTATAGTCTCTGTCCACTGGTGACAGGTCCAGAGCTATGTGTACAGTCATCATCAATTACCAGGAGAGTAGCCCCAGTATTCTTGGCCCTGGGTTTGATGTCTGTATTTGAAGCACTACCCCAGAGTGGAGTATAGTTTACAATGTCAAAATGCTTTCAATTAGCACCTTCTTTAAACAAATAACTAAATTTGGGATGACTCCTGTATTCTATAACATAAATCCTAAACTATAGTGTTAGTGATTATTATGAAATTAGAGATGGGTGAATCAGGCTTCACTTGGGATTTGCAAACGATTTTAAGCTATTTTTCAAACATTTTGAAATATATTTAGTAACATCTTTCAAACATACTTTATACCAAGCATATTTTCTCTAATTTTTAAACCCTTGTGTATTTTAAGGAGAACTTAATCCATATGTTCCTGATTCATTTGCACAAAACTTATCAAAGTTATTTTTTAAGAACAGTTTGGTTTCCAAAAAGCCGTAGGAACCCTTCTCATGAATTCTGCCAGCCTTTAAAAGCCTTTTTCCCAATCAAAACTTTTCCCCCCAAAGATAAATGTGAATAAAATGTTTTAGTTCAGTTTATAATGCAGAGCCCATATTTCAAAAGCTAATCTATTTTTGAATGTACTATAATAAATTATTCTCCATTTACTGTAAGAACTAGCTTCATTTGTTTTTCTTCAAGGCTAAGAGCTTGTAATAAGTGTGCTCTCTTGAAAACAGTGCACTGACATGTAATACTGTCCTCCCACATTCATAGCACAGGTGACAAATGTGGGTTGATCAAATATATTAAACTAAATTACTTATTGAGGATCTGTCATGTATGTGAAATATATTTACATATTTTTGTACACATTCAGATATAGATGTATACACTCATAAAAATGTTTAAATTCTTATAGGTTATCTTTGTTGTTTTTACCTCTACTTATTAATTCTAACGATATTACTGTATTCTGGATTTAATTAATTTATTGTGAAATGGCTATAATTGTTCTCATCTCTCTTCAGAAATGTTTTTCACCTGAGATTTAGTTTAGTAGGTTTCTGTTGGTTAGCAGTAGGTTTTGAGAACAGCTTTTTAAAATTTTAATTGAACAGGTTGATTGTATGAAATCTCCTTAGAAAAAGTAAGGTCATTTCAATGAAGGTAAAAGGAAATATGCTGACAACTAATTGGACAGAGTGTCACACACCACAGAGACTCTGGAAAGGATTTGCAGGAGCATAACAACAAAAGAATGGAGTTTGCTCAGGGCAGCTAGAAACTGCATTCAGAAATATTCACATTAGAAGGACATGAATATTTTTCTTGGATTCTCATTAGGGAACTGTGTGAAATACGTATTTGCTAATCACAAGAAATAACCTGTTCAGTTCCTATTCTTGATGGAAACAATCATTTTTTCCCTTCAATTTTCGTGTGGGGTTATTAAGCAATGAAAACATCTTTTCTGTACTTTTCAAGGTATACCAATTTTTATAGATTTTGTCAGTGCTATAAACTCAATATTTTAGAAAGAGCTTTTATGATAGATGAATTCCTTTTTCTTTTTTTTAAAAAAAATATATCTTTATTGATTTCAGAGAGAGGAAAGGCGAGGGAAAGAGAGAGATAGAAACATCAATGATGAGAAAGTCATTGATCGAGCCCGCAACCCGGGCATGTGCCCTGACCAGGAATCGAACCCCGATTGCCTGGATCCTAGGTCGACGCTCAACCGCTGAGCCATGCCCGGCCCGGGCATGAATTCCTTTTAAAAATTAACAGCTAGCAGCTCTTTCTCCTGGGAACACACCAGCGCCTTTCCCCTCTCTTGCTTCCCCTCAGGTGTGTTACTTTTACCTTCTGTCCCCTAAGCTCTAAGGGCCCTTCTTTTGCCTCTGTAACTTGTTTCCTGAGCCCATTTATTCTATAGTTCACTTCTTCTATCTCTGTGACTTTCTCAGTAAACTTTCTCTTATAGTTTGAGTCTTGGCTCTGAATTCTTTCTTAGCCAGAACTCAAGTATGAAGGTTGCTAAACAGAGGTCTAGTCTGACCCCACCTGCCTAACACCTGGGGCCGTTCTTGCTGCCACCAACAGTTCCATTTTATGAAGGATGATAAATCAGCAGAAAGTATAGATTAACTGATTTCTGATAACATATATTTTTGTAATCATGGTCTTCAAATTCTAATGATGTTGAATTTGAGGTGATTATGAAATTTATACCATAGATATTAGAATATTGGAAGTATTGCCATAAATATTGTGGAGAAATCAAGGTCATGTAGTCATAAACTCTGTGCACATTTTTTTTTCTCACCAATTATCTTCTAAATGGAAAAATATTTACCTAATGATATCTACAGAAGAAAACTATGAATCGTATTAAAACAATTTTTAGCATTTTTTTTTTAACCAGGATGAACATTTCAATAATAAATGTATCAGGGTTAAACTGAGCAAAGCCCCTGAACAAGAGCAAAGCATTCTAATAAGTGACAGTGTCACTTAGTATGTGCCTGTGACAGTAGATGACTGTAACAAACTGGATTAAGCATTTGAAATTTGTTTCTACTTCGGAAATACCTACTTTTCAAGTGTATTTTATGAAGTAGGAGTTCTAGAACTAACAGATTTAGTTAATACATTTTAAAATATATATTTTCAGAGCACTTTATACTTTGACTATGTGACCACAGACCTAAAAAAATTATGTAAACAAAAATAATGCAGCACTTCGTAGAAAAAATAAAAATAAAAATTAGCAGCTAAATTTTTTAAATTTAAACCAAATAGAAAAACCTCTTCCATGAGGGAGACTTTTAACCTTTTACTTTGTATTTTTCCATATAATAATTACTTTACAAAGGAAATATGCTCACAAAATTATGTAAGATCATTTTAAAAAAGTAGTATATGCTCACAAAATTATGTAAGGTCATTTTAAAAAAGTAGTATTTATAGAAATCAAATCAATGCCTCCTCTTAACATCTGTCTCCCAAAAGCCCTTGGCCTAAAAGTCCATCATGGCTCTCGACTTCATGTCTCTCCACTTATAGGGCAGGACTGCGTTGGTTGTACTGCAGCTTGGGACAGTGCTCCACAGACTTCTGTAATGGTGCCACTCCATCATGTTTGTGAGTTTTACACTGTTACTATATTGATAGTTTACAGAATATTTGTAATTTACAGTCGTATTTGTATGTCATTTATAAAAATATTCACAAAATTAGAAAATGTAAAGACTGGTAATGTGAAAACACTGAAAAATTTCATTGGTACGAAATGCCCTCAAAAAAGTATGCATCCTATTTGTTTTGAGATTAAATATGCTTTCAAACTTTGGGCTAAGGGATGGCGGTTTAGCTTAGTTTTAATGACTGTTGTAGGTGAAAAAGTTATTTTATAAAGGTATGTAGATCCAAGTAGAAGAAAGAAATCATTGGTGCAATTATAATTCATTTTTAATCATTCTCACTAATTCTATAGAAGTTTTCATTTAACTTTGTTAAATTTGCATCTTCCCTGATGTCAATTCTTGCAGATTAATTGGAAGGTGCATTTTATATGAATAGTTTCAAAACCAACTGGACCTCTTCATTTAGAAAATTTTAAACACATAGAAAAATGGTTTCGAGTTTAAGTTGCACATATTGGACTTTTTAATGAGACTCATTTTGCGCAACAAAATGAGGGGAAAATGGGAATGAACCCTCAGGTCAGGGACAGAGCCTACCCTCCTCCTGCCTCCCTGAGCTTCATATGCCCCGAGCTCCAATTCTCAGTCCTTCCTGGTTGTTCCCTGTTTCTGTTGAGTCTGGATGTGCTAGTCTTGAATCACATAGGACTAGTTTAATTCCTCTTGTGAGTTTTCATTTCTCCTCAGTCTTAAAATCCCGACTTTAGATATGATAGGAATATGTCACTGTTCTTTTCTTCCTCCTCAGTTTTCAGTGATTCCTGTACCAGTGTCCACAACAGTCTCTCCAGCTTATCAGAACATCCCCTGGGGAGGACCAGGTTGTGTCGTTCTCCTGGCATTGGGTGGGACCTTCAGACAGCTGTCAGCCACCTAAGGTGGTACTGCTGCTTGCTGGCATCTCCGTGTTCATGGAGAAGTAAAGTCCTTCAGTTAGATGAGTGGAACTCTTAAGGGAGGAACAAGAGTGGAACAGAGACCCTCAGTTATTAACAGGTGTGAGCCTCAGCTTGGAAGGGGGATATTGTGTGACTGACTGGAGAGGATGGACATGAACCAGTGTTTGGTCTTATTTGGACTGTGTGTACTCTGGTCAAAGCATAATTCCTGCTCTTTTTTTCCTTTTTTTAAAAAATATATCTTTATTGATTTCAGAGAGAGGAAAGGAGAGGGAGAGATAGAGAGATAGAAACATCAACTATGAGAGAGTTGTCATTGATCAGCTGCCTCCTGCATGCCCCCATNGGAAAGGAGAGGGAGAGATAGAGAGATAGAAACATCAACTATGAGAGAGTCGTCATTGATCAGCTGCCTCCTGCATGCCCCCGTCTGGGGATTGAGCCCGCAACCCGGGCGTGTGCCCTGACTGGGAATCGAACCCCGATCGCCTGGATCCTAGGTCGACGCTCAACCACTGAGCCACGCCCTGCCAGGCCATTCCTGCTCTTTGGCTTGAGATCTGTAGCTATTTAAATAAGTGATCTGTTTATTGTGTCATAAGAGGTGTTATGGTTTTGTGAGAACTTCTGCTCCATAGTCAGAAACCTGGATTCTAGCTCCAGCTCCACCACATCCAAACTGGGTGACTTTGGCTGTTACTTACCCTTTCTATGCCTCTGTTATCTCACCTTAAAATGGACAGGCAAATAAATAATAGTATCTTCCTTATAGAACTCTTGGGAAGATGAAATGAGATACTGAGTTGAAAGCGCTCATCACTTTCTGGTTCCACAATAATGCTCAGTAAGTGGTAGCTGCAATGGATGCTTGAGCTGGTACCTAATGGGCTTTCCCACAGCCAGGTTGAACACTCAAGAGTGTTGCCAGTCTTTGAACTGTGGATAGCTTGAAATGGGCCATGATGAGAGTATATACACCTGGACTCAGAACACACTACACATCAAGGCTTCCTCCTTTACCCAGACACCTTGGAAAGCCAGTTACCAACTCATTGCAGGTTAGGTATTTCAACCTTGTGTGGGTTTTCCCCTTTCTTTCTGCAAATAAAGCAGCTCTGGATGCCTACCCTGGCTCCTTGTCAGTCCCTCTGGAATTAGATGCAGTGATGGGTAATATTTCTAACCCTTGCCAGGCATATGAATAGGGTCAGTTTGATTTGCAGTGATCCATTTTTGACTCTAGGGGTTTTGGACCTCCCAAATTAGGGACCACTCTTTTATTGCAATGTGACAAATCTTAGGACCCCAGAAATAGATCAAAGTGTCTGTACACTTTAGTCCATGACAGATACAGTCTGAGCTATATGTAGGCAGTACCCACACAGCTTTCAGCCTTTGCCAAAGGGGAGGTTCTTCAGTCACCCAGAAGGTCTGATTCTCAGAACTGGCATGACTCTCCTGGCGGGCATGGCAGAGACGTGCGCACAGTGTTCTGCCCAGTGCCAGTGAGGGCTGTGTGGCGTTGTTCAGCCCAGGTAGGAGCGGCAGGAGGAGGAGGGCCTATGTTCTCACTTCTTTTAGTACCTTCCCTGAACCAAAAACATGGAGCTTGGTGGTAGCCTGCAGTTGGAACGTTCTTGCCTTATTTGGCACACTAAGGATCAAATGTCTCCCTATTTACAATAGAAACAAGAAAGCAGCATAATTTCTCAAAAACTAGGCACTTTAAATAGGGAATTTACAAACCGCACACTGTCTTTCCTCATTGCAGAAACGTGTACATCTAGAGAGGATCACGCAGCTTTGTGTACCTTCATTCAGAAGCACAGACCAGGGTTATATTTGTCAGTCCCATTTACTTTTCACAAGAAAGAGAAAGCTGTGCATGGTATCAGGGTCTCCGGTTCCACAGAGGAGAGCCCCCAGGGTTTTCTGTGTAATCCATGGCGTGTTGTGCAGGACGGGGTCTGGAAGGGCTAGCCAGGACTCATTTTTCCATCTATTCTAATTTGAATCTTACACAAATATTCATTAATGTGGATCTCTCATTTAGACCTTTGTAAAATCAGTTTAACGTATTGACTGCTCAGCAGATTCTAGGCCTAGCCCCTGCCTTGAGACCTCATCCTGGTAGAGAGAGCCCTGAAACAGGCCACTGTAGGTTTACAGTTGTGAGTGTGTGAAACACAGAGTTTATTCTTGTCTTATTATTTATTTATTGTTGTATCATTTTCCATATGGACAGCTGTAAACCTACTTTTGCCAGGGCCTGTATGTGAATTGGTAGCAGTGGGTGTGTAGCTGAGAAGTGGTGTGGAGGAGGGAAGGACAAAGAGGACTTCACAGAAGAGGTGGTGTCAGCTGTGTTCTGAGCCTGAAGAGGCGCTCACCAGGTGGCGAGAGAGGGAATGCTGGTTCAGGCAGAGGCAGCAGTCACCACCATCCGGGTGACTTGGATTCGAGCTGTGGTTGCCTCTTATTGGAATGAGTTCTCTTACAGCTGTTTCCTCACCAGATCGCGAGCCCTGCGAGGGCAGAGAGCACCCTCATCATTGCCTCCTCCACAGGGCTTTGCATTCATACTGTAGGTGCCCACAGACCAGTAGGCAGTAAGACTGAATCACACTGGTCTCATTTCTTCTTTGTGACCCTTTAAGCGAAGCTGTTCTGAAGAACACTAACGTGAGGACGCAGATCCGCTGCTGGATGATGGCCACACTTGCGTTTGAAATCAGCTTCGAAGCAGAAAGCCCAGAGCAAAATTGGATGTCTGGTCTGTGGCCGTGGTCTAAATAAATGCAAAACCTCACTTCCTTTTCCTTTTTCATACCTTAAAGTTACCTCATTGTGATGACTGGTTATTGAGCTGTGGATAAGCTGCTTTGCCTGCTTTCTCAGGAGGGATGTGGCTACCAGACTCAATGGCTCGCTCCCCTCAGTTGTGTCATTTCCACACACTGGCTGGTGGTGTGGCTCTGCCCCCATAGTGTCTCCTCAGTGCGTGAACCCCTCCGTCTTCCAGGTCCTCCTGCGGTCCGTTAGCCCTCCTGCAAGTGTCTATAGGATTGCATTTTTCCTCCTATGAACAAGCCTACTTCATAAATCAAAGGCACTTCTTCATTTGCAGTTGAATATTAACTTCACATTTCAGATTGAAATTCATACAGCCTATTTCGCATTACACTTTATAGTAATTTCCTTTAGCTATTGCCCTCGGGCTATAGAAAGATGAAAAAATAGATCTGAGCTCTTTATTTTCACTATGTTCACAGACTGTAAATCTAATCTCTGATTTTTTTCTCTTAAAGTGGCATATACATACATCACTCTGAACAAAGACTGATAAGTAGGGACAGGTTTGCCTTATAACCATGTTCATCCTACCTAAATTATCCTGTCAGTTCCCTTGGAAAATTCATCTGTTTTTCTGCCCTAATTTTCTGCATCAAGTTGATATGTGCCATCTAATGGTGAGGGAAATTGTGTCCAGATTAGGTAACGCTTTAAGATGGATCTATTTCAGAGCTGGAGGGAACCTTATAGATCACGTAATCCAGTATTTCTCATCTTGAGCTAGAGAATCCATGTGTTCTATGAGGAATTTTTTTTTAATCCTCACCTGAGGATATTTTTTGCATTGCTTTTCAGAGAGAGTGGGAGGGGAAGAAAGAGAGAGAGGAGACAGAGAAACATTGACGTGAGAGAGACACATCGATTGGTTGCCTCCCGCACATGCCCTGACCGGGGCCAGCGATCCAGCCTGCAACGAGGTACATGCCCTTTTCCAGAATCAAACCTGGAATCCTTCAGTCCGAGGGCCGACACTCCAACCACTGAGCAAAACCTGCTAGGGCTCTATGAGGAATTTTTAAATACTGTGTTTTCATTTAGATGAACATTCACATATATATATGTACATGTGTATATATATGCACAGTCTGGGCTGGAGGATGACCTCTCTGAATGGAGAACTATGAGATTTCATAGATCACGTGACTTGACTCCAGGAATCGGATCAAAGTTTCCTGCAGACCCAAAG